ATCCACGCACGTCGCCTCAAATTGCCTATCCTCTTTGTGGTGGCCATATTTACAGAAATATAATTAAACGTTTATGTTTTCGGCTGAAGGACTTTGTTTCCATGGCCAGCAATAATTAAAAAAAAAATTGAATATCCAACTTCAGCTTCCGAGGTGAATAGTTTTATCGCACGATGCATTATAACTGATTTCGGAAATCCGGAATTCGAAAAAAGTTATAATTAACATTTGGTAGTTTTGACCGCTAGTATGTCACTTCTTCTATCAATAGTAGAGATTTATCTACTTATTTCGTAAACCCTATTCCGACCATTGATTATAATATACATGGGCGTTTACATGATCATAGGAATAATATTGCCTGAGTCTGAATCAGTTAACATTTTATGTACATCTTTATGTATCTACACTGGCCTAGTGGATAAAGAAATTTCCATCCACGAATCGCTTGCGTTCTGACGTATGCTATGCTCGTTTACTGTATCACTAAGTACTTTTTTGACAGGCTTAATGTGATCCCTTGTCGAAGTATGGTGATTCTCTAATGGGTAATATAATAAAGAGACTAAAAATATATTATAAGATAATTCTACACTACCAATTTATTGATGTAGTAAAATAGTATCGTATGTGGTACCGAAACTATACCACAGCATCGATTACGCAATCAACACTTTACCGCGTAAATTACTTCACAATTTTGCATGGCAAATTTTATACAGCGCCTCTAGCGGTCATAAGAAGAAACAATATTTTATTATAATACCTGTCATTGTAAGCTCATGGTAGAGGCACTGAAGGTCAAGAAACCAATCTTCTCCGAAATTTTAATTTGACGATTAAGTTTTTAATAAATGAACACGAGGGACTCTCGGATAAGAAAATTATAAATACTTACCACACAAAATAGCTGATTTTGCACTAGATTATATTCAATAGAGCAGCGTTTGCAGGTTGACGACAAAATGGAAACTTTTGAAAGTGTAAAACTAAGAAAAGATAGCGACTTTTGCAAGAGTAGCCAACATTTAACACTGATTTATTTATTTATTATTCAGAATATACCAAGTTGTATTGTTGAAGTATTGAAATTATTTAAAATACTGATTCATTTCACGCTATTAATTAAAAATCATTAAAAATGTCACTTAACGCTGTTTTGCAAGTGGACTACTCAATTGTCTACGTAAATAAGAATCAGGTGGTATCAGAATATCACCTGATGTTATTCTTCATAATATTATTTGTACCATATTGGTCACAACCAACCGTACTTACTAAGTTTATTTAAAATGTAAAAGTCTATTTTTACATTAAAAAGAAATCAATATATGTGCTAACCTAATACAACAAATATCAGTGATATTTAACCTACCCCAATCGCTATCGTTATATCGTTGTAAAAGGTCTAGGTATGTACCTAATAAACATATCACACCTGCGAACTAAAATTTACGATAACTGATAAGGTGGTATAGATACCGTATCGTTTAGATTAATTCAAGGTTAACGATTAAATCAACAATATCCTCAAAAGGACTTCCAATACACAAACAATTCGAACCTCTAAAAATTTGACATTAGAGTATCGTTAAATTGAGTTTATGCAGGTGTGCCGTTATAACGTGATATTAGAATATGAACTATCTCTAGCAAGCCTACCGTAACAATAATTCATTACTACACTTATGGGAGGCATGTGGTATTACGCCCACGCTGTAGTCGTAGCATGCGGGTTCAACGACTCTTGAAATGATGCCGCATTTTGGGGCAGGTCGCGGCGGGGGTAGAGGTGTTGAGAGGGGGGGAGACGCGGCCGCGGCGCCCCTCATGCACTGTGACGCGAGATGGCGGATGTTAAATTACGCGGTTATCAAGCCATCTTTTTTACGACCACTGATGTGTGCCTCACATTCTGACTTGTGACTTAAGCCTAAACAGCTTTGTCTCTTTCTGCTTTTTTGGTGTCAAAAATTCTCTGCTAATTGACCAAGGTCAAGTACTGGCTAGCCAATGGTTATCAACAATGTGAACTAAGAATGATAACTGTATTAATATACTACCTAATATATAAATTCAGCAATGTGTGTGAATAGATTGCATTACAACAAAATGTATTTCTATACTTGTTGGAACAAAAACTTTGATTTAAATTCCTCGAAAAATTTGAAATTTGTCTTTCATTCAACTCTAAATTGGCATCGTGTAGTCTTTAGCCTTGACCGAGCGTACGATTAGCAGAATATTTATAAGCATTTACATCATACTATACTACCACAGTTGTAATACTACAATAAGATTCGAGATACCTCGATTTACTTTCTGTCTACTGCTGTTGCTCATCCGGTGCTACCTACCACAATAACGGAAATGAGCTATGTTTGTACCTACTAGTATAGTTTTTTGTAGGTATTTTTTTTAATATCCGTGTTGCTAGGACTTTTGTTCACGGAAAATATTTTGGTTAATTTTTGTTAAGTAGGTACTTAATAGACTCCTTCATATTATGTAAATTTTTTATTGATTCAAATAATACAAAAAAGAACAACGCGTTGTAATTAAATATTGGTAAGTAAATAGTTTTTCTTTTTACTTACGTGTTGAGGACCTCATAGCGCCATCTCTTTTTTTAGGGAATTGAAATCGCTTTCCCTGTTTTATCGACAACACGCCCTTTGATATATCTATGTAAAGATTTAATTATAACCTGCGGTTTCTTTTTTCATTTATGACCTTATTAAGATAAATACGACTGCATAGTCGGTTCAACATCCTATTTTTAAGGGTGAGTGAATCTAATCGTGGACATCCCAAGCAGTTCCGATTGCGGACTACAAGTGGAAATAGGTCCTCGTTAGAGTTGCCTTGACCTAACCTAACTTATCTATGATGCGTTAGGTTGGCTGTTCTGACGATGTATATTATGAAGTCACACAAAACATTATTGTTGTGTGGCCTTGCTTAAAACTAGTTTTTAGGCTTTATTTCATAAGGTTGACTCTTGACTGGAGACTGAAGTCTTAGGGCTTTAAACAATGACAAGTTAAAAAATTCAATAAGGAAGAAATCAATAATGAAATTATACTTCTTAAGCTTTTACAGGTCTTGAAAGCTAACTGAAATTAGTTTATCAAAGCCTTTGTTGTAGATTTAGCTTCATAAGCGCCTAATGGATTTCCATATTGTCCTAAAAATAGGCATAATGCGATCGCTAGGAAATCGAGATGTGTAAGATTTTGAATCTGCTGCCAATGGTACTTACTGTATTGGTGCTGGAATAGTTAGATATAGGTATTACCGGGGCTTTTCTTTCCGGGGAAACAAACTTTTTTTAAATCGTACTAGAAAACTAATAAAGATCTGGTAACTAATGTCCCTTGGCTGAAAAACAATTATAATAACAAATACTCCCGTATTTATGTGTGTCAAGAGTATAATGAATAACAGGGTTATTACCTCTAGTTTCTTACAATAATGGTCCATGTTGAAATTTTGAATATATTATACAAAAGACATTAATTGAGCAGGTGTCCACGTTTTCCAACGCCAAATGGCCAGAACGCTGATGATTAAAAAACTTTAACGTAACGTATAGCCATATAGGTAATTGTTTACAAAGATAAGGTTAGTAGAACGATTTCCCAGTAATTTTTTGATATGTATTCCAAGAATTTTCTCGAAGACAACGCCCAAGTGATAACAAGACAAAGAACCTCGTCGCGTTAAAAGATTTTAAAATTTTCTCGAAGACGACGCCCAAGTGATAACATGATAAAGAACCTCATCGCGTTAAGGGATTTTGTTAAATTATAAAAAAAATAAAATAGAATCAATTCACCTTGTTGAAAGAATACGCCTATAATGTGTCTGCTGAGTAACCTTGATCCAACGGCACGAGTAAATCTGTAGTGTGGAGTAGTGATAATGATATTTTAGGAATATATTTAAAAAATCGTAATATGGTAGTTGAACAAATTTTCGTATCTTGCGCGGTAATACAAGTTTTAACCTCCACCTGTAGGCATCTTTTTAATTTTGTCCCATTGCCAAACTGTTTTCGCATCTCGGGAACATTGCACGCGACGCAGCCATATTTACGACCTTAGAATAATGTTTACGACGTTATATACGACAATCGCTATTTATAATTTTATTTATATCAGAGATAATAGAAGATCTTTGTTTTAGTACGTCATAAGGTGTTTTGACATGTAAATACTAGTGTTATATATTAATATAATGTCTGTGACTTAATGTAAGTTTATTACATACACGGTATCGAATGGTAAACGTGTTGATATAATAACGCATACATACACGCCTAATGCGATATACGTTATTATAATAGCTACGTAAGTCTATAAGTCCAATAAATGTTGTTTACCACAGATCAAATCGTCACTGACCTTGCCAAATTTAAATAATGCGGAACTTCAGAATAAACCATGGCTTAACGAGTCACTGATGATGAAGAAAACAAAGGGCTTTCCTATTATCGTCTCTGAAATAGAAATAGTAGAAAAAGCGAGCTATTAAATGACTTACGTATTAGGTACTATAATAAAAAATATTCCATAATAATGTACACGCACCGCCATCTGTTGAAACTTTTATTTATTACGCAGTCAACAGGGTGGATAGAATAGTTGTCGTTGTAGTACAGCTAATTGCTTATAGATGGCATTGTCATCTAAAAAAAAGGTTAACAAATGAGTTTTTTTTTTAATTAAGCAAATTGTAAGATAAAAACATTTCTGTTACAAAATTAATGTAGAGTCAAATTTGTGATATTAATATCGTGCCCCTTTTTGTATTGAGTAATTTTATATTAATATTATCTATGAACTCCTTTTAAAATTACTAAAGTTATTATTATTATTATTTATTAAATAAAAATGTGTTATAGTCACGTAATAATTGAGAAAGTAGGGTGTGCAAACGGAACGCGTCCGTATCGCCGTTTGCGTCGCGTGCGCTACAGAGCGATTTTGGGTTCTCAGGCGCACTCGCCATTTCAATGTAACTGCGTGCAGACGTGTTCCTAGGGCTCATTGTAGTTCGCAAGAAAGCCCTCAAACAGTGCCTATTCAAATGTAGTCCTTTTCGTGCAAAAGCCACGTGAAAGGCCTTCGAAACAACGAGACGAAAATCCATGCAAACGTGAGTATTAAAATTAAAATTTCTCCGTAAATTAGTCACCAATCATATAATATGAGTATTGCACAATTTTTACGATAAGTCAGATTTTCCACTATATAAAATGCTTTATTATGCAAAGAAAGCAATAACGTAATTGGTTTTTATTTTACATTTCGGCTTTCTCTTTGCAATGTTTAAGTGACCTTAATTAATTGTATGTTCGAGTTAGTCTCTACATATCTGTGCAGTTCATTGACAAGTTTCCCCTATAATGCCAAGACGTGCGTCGTAGTTGATCGTCTAGACTTGGGCACTTGACCTTAATCGGGCTGTGAACCGAAAACCGGCGAACAATGTCCCCTCTGCTCAAACTCAACACGTGGTTGATAAAATTAGAACGCGTCGCGAAGCACGTATTTTCGGTATTATTTCATTCCTTTATCACTAATAGACTAAGTATCTGTATAGTTGATATATCTAACGAGTATTGTAGCAAGCTAGATTTTTATTTGTTCAGTAAAATCAGAAGAGTCTAAAAATTCGAAGCGATTTCCAAAAGTAACAGCTAATGAAAGTATTATCGATGGACGAAAAGAAGCACTATTTTTTTACTAATGCTATAATAACATTCATTGTTATTGTCAAATTTTTAATAGCTCATCTGTCTTTCATATTAAAAACTTATTTTTGAAAAAGGATAAGGATTTAGGATTAAAAACTACATTATATACGTTATTATGTATTTGAATTAATGCTACAAACCTACATCTCTTCGAAATAATTGATCCTTGACGAAAATTTCACTCTAAGCTCTATATTATTATGAACCATTATGACTACTACTTTAGACATAGTATATCGTTAACTAGTATGGGAATATCTCGTACCGAGGTACACTTTTTTAGTAAACATGTCATACAAATAGTGTGACAGCGGATTCAATGCTTCAGGAAACAGTTGCCCGCTTTACCAGTCTGCCATAACTTACGCGTAATTAAACACCTCGATGTATCTATGACTTCAATTATTGGCGGAAATATTTATTACATTAATATCATATAATAGACTACGGTGAACAATATCTTCTCTGTTATGTAAGAATCTGCCAAAATTCAGCAGAGTAGAGCAGTTTGATAGATGAGTTGGCAATTATTTTTATCATTAATAATACAAAGATCGAACACTAGAAGGAATTTTTTGTTAGTGTTCAATCTTTCTATTAATAATTATAAGTAACTAGTGGAGTAATTCAGCAAAAATAATTTTATATATATTTGAATATATTTAATATATCAATAAAAACTTAAAAATCAAAATTATTTTTATATTAAAACGTTTGGACCCAATCTTATTTGATTGTATTTGAAGAATTTTAATAAACAAGGAGTAACACAGAAAGAAAACACATTTATTGTATTACCACAAACAATACCACACACAAAAAAAGAATGAAGACAGAAAAAAGAAAAATATATAAAAAAAATAATCAAAAACATTCGCAATTAAGACAGAGTTATAGTAGCACTAGAGGTCCTTGACAAAGAGTACGTCCAGGGAAGTACTGCCACCTTACTTATTTCTGCCGCCAATTACTACGTTCCGGTTTTGAAGGGTAAGAAGGGTGCTGGTGAAATTACATGCACATGGGACTTGTCAACTTATGTCTCAGGGTGACAGGCGCAGTGGCAGTGCCCCTCATGTCTTTACGATTTAAAGTTTTGAGTGGTACTGCAACTGTTATGGACAGGCGTGTAGCTTACTATACCACTTGTTCGTCCTGTCACTTGATATGATATAAAAAAAGAAAAGAAATAAAATGGAGTAGAGCACTGCTGTTCGTGGATTTATTAATAAATAAGTTTTTTATAAGAAGTCAGGATAAGTAATGAAAAAAAACTGACCTCAAAAGTTCGTGGAATTACATTTATTACATATATTATCATCATTTGCCAAGTTTTATTGTAATCGGTTACCGGATGGTGTGCGGAACCGGATCCATCCCCTAGTTTGCCACCCTTAGAGGTGGAATATTTTCTTCAAATTTATATGAGACCAACCTTTTAACTGCCCCTGTGGCCGAACGGTTACCATGCCCGACTGTCACGCAGAGGTCCCAGGTTCGATTCCCGGGCCGGGAGAAATATTTGTATGACCTACATTTGTTTCTCTCGTGAGTTTGGGTGTAATTTGTGGTTGTCTATATGTGTGTCCATGGCACCCGCTACACAGGGTTTCCCTAGTGCGGGGCTATGTTGAGAATGTGTGTTATTAAAAAAAAAATTGAGGTACCCGCTATCCAACAAAAAAGAATTATCAAAATCGGTTTACAAATTTAGGAATTAACGCGTAACACATATAAAAAAAATACAGTCGAATTGAGAGCCTCCTCCTTTATTAAAGTCGGTTAAAAAATAAAGGCTGTTAAAAAGTGCCTGTTAAAAAAGCCACAATCAAATACGGCATGTATCTACCAAGATTCGGTCCACATACCCAAAATGGATTGTAGAGCTGCGGAAATGTCAAAAGTATGTCTCAGACGATTCTGCTAAAAGAGATATTAGCAGTTACATACCACATAGGATAGCAATATATAATAAGATAGCTAAAAATGGTTTCTATTTCTTACACGCGCCTGAAATATAACGCCATTTTCAAGGAACTGTTCAACTTCGATACGCGATAAGAATCTGTTACTCTCTTATTTGTCTGAAAAAAAAAAAGTCTAGGGAAATCCCATCATAGAAGTTGTGTTGGTTAAACAAATCGGAAGTCGTTGAAAAGGTCTCGAGGTTGATTACCGGTGAGGGAATTGGAAAAATACTTTGAAACATTTAAAAAAAATTATAGTTTGTATTTTTCATTGACGCAACAGTATTTATGATAAGTTCAAAGTACAACTTATCATAATGTTAAACACTATTCTGTTGCACGTTTTATACACACAAACTCATAGCCCTGCGCTAGGGAGACCCTGACAATCACAAATTAACCCAAACACACGAGAGAAATATGTAAATGCAGGCCATACAAATATTTCTCTCGGCCCGGAAATCGGTACCTCTGCGTGGCAGACCGGCATGGTAGCCATTCAGCAACGAAGGCAGTTGACAGAAAAAAAAATCTAATAGAATCTGTATTTGGAATGGAGCTGGAGATGAGCTTGAAAAGAGAAATAACTGACAAAAACCATCTAGCTAGGCTCAATTTGCATTGTCGCGGAATTTTTGTAACCATAGCATTATTAACTACCAAAAAATAGGTCGCCCGTATTCCGGAGAATCCCACAGCTATTAATATATTATTGTGTATAGTGTTATGTTATCGTCAAATTCATTATGTCATGTACGATTTCGTTACGAAAATTCAATTCCATTCCCTTCCGCAGCTATGTAAATTGAGCCTTAGATGGTCTGGTTAGAATCAGCGTAAGGACGATACATCACTTTATTTTTACTGACTTGATGCAGTTAATGTCTCCTCTGAATAAGCTGAGAAACAATTGACTCCGTAAAGACAAACAATCCATCGCATTTGTTTTGTGCCCGAGAGGAAGCTACTGGAATCAACATGCATGCAAGTTGACGATGATTTCCTTGCAGTGGTACTTGCAACCATTGTCATTACAAATGTGTATACAACATTTTATATGAATAGCTCGTTGAAACTCTTTAAACTCCTATAAGCAATACTATGTTTGAAGTCGGTATTTAAAGTATATGTATAATATTTTAAATTGCTTCATGAACACTGGCCATATCAGAACGTTTAATTTGAAAAAAGAATGACTTAGATCGTCTTTTGATTTCGATGAAACGAATTGAAAATTGAATTGTTTATTGGCTATAGAGCCATCAGCTTAAAAAGGTGACAAATAATTAATATTGTACTTAAACAAAACTTAAACTATAAATTAATTTGTATAAAAACTGTAACCACAAAAATCCATGTTATCATAGTTCAACCTTTTTTTAGCGTTCTTTTTCTTGGTTCGTTTTTTTTTCTTATTATTTCCATGAATATAGTAAACGGCATACAAAGGAGGATGGCGACATCCCGTGTATTTTGTGACCCAGTGTTTTTGACGACGCGACGTGCAAAATGCCGAATTGAGTACAGCCGAAACAATACACGCAATGGACTAAACCTACGCGTGCTCTCTGTACCATTGTAAAAGTACATAATTCTCAATCGAAACTGCTATTCGTTGACCTTACACAAAACCTCCATTAAATATCACATCTACACTTCCACTAAATATTTGAATGCATGCCGTTGAAGCTACAAAAGCGCACTTCACAATGTTATCTACAGTGTTTGAAGCACTCAAAGTGCTGATAACTCGCAAATGTGTGAATAATATCGCACATTAGCACATAAGATTAAAATCCTTGATAAATGAAGGAAATGCTGTTGTCACGACGGTTCGTGGTCGCGGTTTGATATACAGCAATGTGTTACATATTTTTACTTTGCGCTTGACCTTGTTACGGTCATGATAACCTCACGGGCAGCCAATAAAAATACTTATTAAAATGAATTTAAAATATTGCTCATATGTGTACGAGCATGCCAACTACAAACGTGATCGAGTAATGTCAAGGAAAACATCACAAAATAATTTCATGTGCGCTGACGGTGACGTCGGCGCTGCGTGATAAGGACCAAAGGCAGTTTTAGATTACGTGCAATTTTATGGGTCAATTGCAAACAGAATTGTCATAAAAGAAAATTTATATATTGCCAATTTCATATAGAGAATTTTTCAATAATAAAGGCTCTAATAATATTTTAGTAGCAGTAGAGCTTCTTGTGAAAGAGTTCGCCCCGGGAAGTACTGCCACCTTATCTATTTCAGCCGCCAAGCAGTAATGTCAGCATTACTGTACTCCGGTTTTGAAAGGTAAGGGTGCTGGTGAAATTACAGACACTTGGGACTTGTCAACTTATGTCGCAGGGTGACGGATGCAGTAGCAGTGCGTCTCAGAGCTTTGCTATTTAACGCTCTGAGTGGCACTGCAACT